AAAGCCCAAAGGCCATCACTGGTCTGGAGGCTGCAGATGGACTTTTTAACGAACAGAGAATCTGGAGATGTCTGGAGATACACACTCTGGGGCCTGAAATCTTCTATCTCTCGTGGCTCAAGGGTAAACAGGTAAACTTTCTTACATGCATTTTTTTCCAGATTATTGGAATTAGAGAAGCTTTGGTTGGGATTGTATTGCTTCCTTTTGATTTTCTCAAAGTACCAGATCCCATTGTCTTCCATGAAGCGAAAGATGCCGGGAACCTGGGGCTGGTCTTTCCCAGAAATCAGCTCCATTGGCTGCCACATTTGATAGACCATTCCAAAGCCACCGTCCACTATGTAGGCTTTCCCATCCAGGACCACCTTTAGCAGAAGGTGATCAATATGATGATTATATGCATTTTCTTTTGGGCTGTAAACTTTTGCTCCTATAATGGTGGTGTCATATCCCAGCGTTTTCAGAACCCAATATAAAAGGTGGTTGTTTTCCATGCACCAGCCACCACGTTTCTTCTTCACTATTTTGTCATAAACTGGTTCTAAGTCTAACTCGATGGTTTCCCCGCAGTGGATGCTGAGGGTTTCAAAAGGAACAGCCCTGATGTGGTGCTGGAATATTGCAGTCAAGGTCTCCAAATCTGGGTTTTTGTAGGAGCCATTATAAGAAATTCTGGTGAAATAATCCGTGATGTTCATGTTACCTGTATGGTGAGTAAAAGAACAATTGTGTGTGTCTGAAATGCTTGGATGAGTGTCACCAGCCATCATAGGAGCAGAACCTCTTTACACCCTGATTGTTTAAAATGACTAAGCCCCTTACAGAAGACAAGGAGATGAGTTTGTTTGTTTTACCGTTGTGCCTAGTGACTTCAGGTGTGCTAGGCACACTACATACACATTTTAAGAGGTACTTCCTGACCAGAAGAGCTTACTATCTAAATAGACCAGTCAGACAAAGGAAGTGGTATTGTTCCCATTTTTCAGGTGGGGTCTAGTAAGGCATACCAGCAAGAGCTGGTACCCTATGCCATAGCGGACCAGCTTCCCCAGGCGACAATTTAAAGGGCCTGGGGCTCCCAGCAGCAGATGGAGCCCTGGGCCCCTTAAATTGCTGTCAGAGCCCGGCTTCTGGAGCCCCCTGGTAGCAGAGGTAGCTGGGACCCCAAGGGCTCTGGCGGTGATTTAAAGGGCCCAGGGCTCTGCTGTGGTAGCAGCGGCTGGGAGCCACTGCCCCGTTAAATTACCGCCGAAGCCCCGCCACCGCTACCCCAGGGCTCCGGCAGTGGAGCTCAGGCGGTGATTTTAAGGGCCCAGGCTCCAGCCACCCGTACTGCTCCGGGCCCTTTAAATCTCCGCCAGAGCTCCACTGCTGGAGCTAGTGGAGATTTAAAGGGTCCGGGGCGGTAGTAGCGGCCGGAGCCCCAGGTCCTTTAAATTGCTGACCGAGCGCAGCTGCCGGAGCCCCAGGGTAGCGGCGGGAGCCGGGAGCCCCAGGGGCTCTGCCAGCAATTTAAAGGGACCGGGGCTCCGCTGCGGGAGCGGTGGCTGGGAGCCCCTGACCCTTTAAATCACCACCCAAGCCCTGCTGCTGGAGCCCCGGGGTAGCAGCGGCAGCCAGGGGAATTAAAGCGCAATCACTATTTTTAACAACCTACCATTATAGAGACCATGAAACTGTTCAATACATTGATATTTGTCTTCACATGAAATTGTACAGCTCTAGCTGTTTATACAGATACATTTAATAAATGGGCAATTGCAGATCTTTGCTACATTAAATTTCTCCAATTTCTCTTATTGGGGACAGGCAGGTGATCTGGTGTTTCTCGGACCTCAGAGAACTCTCTATTAACCACACTCTCCTGTATTTCAGGCTGAATAAACATGTTGCTTTCAATGCATTCACATTAAGCAGGTCTGATTGTAATCATTCTTTGCATTCTTAAGAATTTGCAAGCCTGTTTTCAATAAATTATAGGGTTGGTCACGTTATTACATCCATCAGCATTTTAATTCATTCTCTTACAAATTTTAATAATCGAATTCTGAATACCGTGTGATTAAAATGTTCTCTAGCAGCAAATATATTCTTCTGTTACTGGTAGTACAACTGTGAAATCTTAATGGTCACTAGATGTCACTATAATTTTACTTGATCTTCAAACGTAACAAACTGATGAAATTCTCGTGCACTCTGATAGGCTTATGTTAAAGGCCCTGTAAAAAAAACCATTATTAGTGATCAGAAAACTATTCCAAATATAATGTTTACAGAAAAGAAAGTTGTCTGTATTGTTGTTGTAGCCATGTTGGTCCCAGCATATTAGAGAGAGGTGAGATAATATCTTTATTGGACCAACTTCTGTTGGTGAAACAGACAAGCTTTCCAGCTATATAGAGCTTTTCTTCAGGTCTGGCAAAGGAACTCAGACCTAAACACTTGTCTTTGGTTGAGCTATTACCATTACTTGTGAGGTTGAGTTGATGTGCAAGGAACTATCAATTTTTTTTTAAAAGAGCCTTGGTGGAGAACTGGATAGCCCAGATTTTGAATATGTCAATTTCTCAGACCCAGAATATGACTGGACATGATTTACTTTTTTTTAATGAACTTATAACCCATGTGAGTACTTACCATTCCGATCCTGATGGTTCCTATTTACCTCAGGGTTAGCTATGGGTCTTTGGACTTGTGCTGTAGAAACTGTTTGTATTTGAAAAGACCTCTGCTCAAGCTGCAAAATTCAAGAAATTAAACTGCTGTGTCACTTTTGTCAACACATACATTGTATCTCTTCCCACAAGGCTCCACCATTTCCCAGCCCCACCCCACCTCTTCCCAGCCTCTTTCCACCCTCTCCCCCCAGCGCGCCCTGTCCATGCTCCTCTCCCTCCATCCCAGCGCCTCCTGCACACCGCTGAACAGCTGTTCCACAGCATGCAGGAGGCACTGGGAGGGAGGAGGAGGAGTTGATCAGCGGGGGCCACAGGCGGACGCGAAGGGAGGGAGCACCCGCTCTCTGGTCTGAACACTAGACCACACTGCCTCTCGGATGGTCCAAGGAGCTAGTAAAATAGTATTTCCTTGTCATCATTGGCAGTAGTGGTCAGGCACAAGGTTTGTAGGGCTGTGACAGAGTTGGGGCAGGGGACAGTCCTTGAGTCACCAGCAGATACAAAGGAGGAGAATAGAAAGAGCACCCCCCCAGGATGCCCATGGTGTGAAGAGTTGTGGGCCGAAACCAAGCTATGGAGGTGACCACCCCCCACCAGCAGTGATCTCTATGGGTGAAGAATGAGTGGGCCCCGCAAGCGGGACCTGGAGGATTACTAAGGGAGCCCCAGGGGGTAGCACCTCCAGTAAGAAGGGAGAGAAAACACCTTCCTGTCAGGTAAGCAGGGAGATGTGTGACAGAGTGCTGGGAAACAATAACCGAGGCAGCACTCTGGGCACTGCAACAACAGCAGTTGCTCTGGAGTAGCCCTGATTAGGAAGAACTGTGCCTGATTGGTGGATTGGGATGGGCTGAGGAGAGTTAGCTAGTTAGCCCTTTACCCAAGAGGTAGAAAAGGCCGTGTGTGGATTCATTCTCATATAAACCTGAAGAAAAGGAGAACCCTAAATTATTGTTTAGTAGTATTCAGTTGCTGAACCAAACTATAATATTCGTGGACATTGGCAGAACCCACCAAAGAGTATTTAATAAACAAATGGGGATCTCCTATTTGCAATTTCCCAGTATAAGGGACAAAGAAAAAGACTTGGATGAGAGACTAATTGTAGATGGTAACTAAACCCCACACACACTGATTCAGTCAGCAAATGCAGGAGTGGCATGTTAGGGATTAAATTTGATCGAGGCATGTGTGATGTCATTTATTTGTATTGAGAAATGGCAACGTAGAAGTATTATTAAGGAATATTTGGTACAGGGTTTAATGTTGAAATTGAAAGAAAGACCTATATTTTATAAGGCCCAGAAAACCTCTAGGTGAGCGTTGAGAGGTACAGA